ACTGTCCCAGGCATCCCGCCAAAGCCCGCAAACCTCAAACCCCTTTCAAAAAGTCCCGGTCTCTAAATCCTACTTGGTACATGCACTTTAAGGTTTAGGGTTTAGGGTTTAGGGTTTAGGGTTTAGGCGGCCAAGCACGAGCCGACGAACGATTTCTAAACCTCCAGGGGCCTCTGATATTGTTATGACTGTCGGGTGCTTAGTAGGGAATGGGGGAATGGGTTATAGGGACTACTAAAAGGGACTTTAAGGGACTATCATAGGGATCCCTTCCCCCATTCCCTACTAAGCACCAGACAGTATGACTATGGCTGTTATTATTACTACTACTACTACTACTACTACTACTACTACTGTACTTTTTGTATTGTTGTTGTTATTATTGTTCTTATTGTCTTTGTTGTCGCTGTAATTATTATGACTACTATTCCGAATAAACCTTAAGAGGCTCTATGTACAAACGAGAAATCCTTTGCAGCCCCTTGATGACTGCTTGTAGGAGAAAGCCGCAGTGGCAGAGCGTCTCCGCTTTCTTCCAGCGCCCCGTGGCTGACAGAATCCGGTGGAACATTGACGGCTTAGGGTTCAGGGCTTAGGGTTTAGGAATCTGGTGGAAAATTGCCGGCAGGGGGTGTTTCCCGACAGAGAAGGGTGGGGGCTTCAAACCTTCTATGGGCTGTGCACACTGTTATTGGGATGTTGATGCAGGGCTTCTAGGGTTTTATCTTTCTTGACCAAGGGGTCAGTGATGCTTTTTGAATTAGGGATTGGGGCTTTCGGGGTGCCTTTGAAGTCGGGGCCTTTACATTACGGATCAAGTCAGGGTAGAATTTTTTTTCGGGAAGTGATAGTTTGGGCTCCATGATCCAAGAGTTGCAGAACCACGCTCCAAAGCTTAAACCCACAGACAACGAGGTTCGCAATTTCTGCTGCTTTTGAGTTAAGGTGCCGCTGGAGAAGCGCTTCTGGAGGTACAGAAGCCGTAGGTCGAGCCTGCAATTCGAAACTTTCGGTGATGAATTGCGCATCCTGGTTGGGATTCGGAAGCAGTCATTGGTTTCTGTTCATGCACGGCATCGGAGGACAACAGACCATGGTACTAAGAATCATAATACTACAAATAACAGTGCTAACGATATCAGTATAAATATTTAATACCAGTAACAATAAGGCATACAATATCATAATTGCAATGGTAACAGCGATGCTAGTAGTGATAACAATAGTGATAAGCTCAAGACGGTGCATGTTGGCACGCAGGTCCTTCTTCCCGATCGGTTTAGGGTTTGGGGTTTTGGGTTTACGGTTTAGGTTGCAAGATGGTGCATCAGCCGCATGCTGTGTACTGCTGAAACATCGTCTCCCCGAAACTCTGCAGAACAACATGCGTCTTCGAGTGTACATGGAGAACTAGACTGCAATGGTAGCAGTGACAAACATGGTACTGAGGCTGCATTCTTGGACCAGAAGACGGGGCCATCATCATCATCATCATCA